GTATCTAGTTTCCTATTCTAACCGCAGTACTTTGTAGTGCGAGTGCACTACACATACACTCTCTACACCGACGCTTCAGGCTATGCAATAGGGGCAGTATTAGAGCAAGAAGGCAAACCAGTGGGGTTCCTCAGCCAGGTCATGAACGCAACACAGCAGAAGTACTCCATTTACGATCAGGAGTCATTAGCGCTCATTTCCGCCTCAGATAAGTGGCGTCATCTACTCCGAGGAGCCAAGGTTACGGCCTACACAGACCACCAGGCCCTGACGTACCTGCAGCGGATCAACGCACAAAAACCCTTACGCCAGCGTACAGCGCGATGGTTGGACTTCTTAGCGGATTTTACCGATCTAACGATATCTTACCTGCAAGGTGCGCACAACAAGATCGCTGATGCACTATCCAGACACCCACAGCATCAACCAGCAGTCTCGACTCCGACTCGAACGTTTCTAGCTCCTCTTACCGAATCCAAGCAGGCAAATTCGTCGACGCCTCGTCGATATTCTACTCGCTCCTCGTCTGGGAACGCGCCCAGCATCGACTTCCGCGCAATCGCAGGGCTCCGCTCCTATCGCACAGGGTCAAAGCCGACATCGCCTGCTTCACCTGACCCGGTCGTCACGCCTCCAGTCGGGTCATCGGATGGACCAGTGCCAACGCGGCAATCTTCGCTCCCTCCTGAGTCCAGCGATTCCCACTCTTCCGTAGCTCCCTCTTCTGCGTGATCCTCCGATCCGATTACCTCAGTCGCGGCCGCAGAACTAGCCTCGGAATCGTCTTCAGCGACGGAATTCCTGACGCCGCAACGTTGGGAAGACGGCTATCTACGCTGTTCTCACTCCCGCGACATCGTCCTCGCAGCAGACCGCCACAACGAAGCAGAGTTTCTCCATCAGCTACAGGGCCGCAGATATCGTCTCAAGTTTTGCCGACCCTACCTATACGTTTGCATACATGGGCTCTGGCGTATTTGCCCTCCTACTTTGCCGGAATTCCTCTCGCATCTTCTCTACCGCCATCACGACCACGTTACGGCCGGACATCGTGGCGAACGCAAAACGTTTCTGTCCCTCAGTAAGCTATATTACTGGCCGAGAATGCGAGCATATACAACTGCGTATGTTGCGTCTTGCGTGCAGTGTCGTGCATCTAATGTGCTCTCGCAGCGGCAAGCGGGCCTCCTTCAACCTCTTCTCGTCCTCTCCCGACGCTGGAGCCATGTTAGCCTGGATTTCATAACAGACCTGCCCCTCACTCCCCGCGGACACGATTGCATCCTTGTTATCGTCGACTCTTTAAGCAAGATGGCGCACTTCATCCCTACAAAGACGACAGCAACCACAGCGGATACCATAGAACTCCTCGCTGATAGATTGATTAGATACCACGGATTTCCAGACGTTTTGATATCCGATCGGGATCCCCGCTTTCAATCGCACCTTTGGCAGCAGCTATATCAGCGTTTCCACATTAAGAGAGCTATGTCTTCCCCTTACCACCCGCAATCAGATGGAAAAACGGGGCGAGTTAACCGCACACTGGAGCAAATGCTCCGAACCTACATTCAAACGGATGAACGAGAGTGGGAACGGCTGTTACCTGCGCTAGAGCTCGCCTATAATACTACTAGCCATTCGTCAACGGGGCTTAGCCCCTTCGAGACTATGATCGGCCAAAACCCGGTCACAGCGGCAGATCTGGATACTGTGGGCAATCGTGCGCCTACCCTCATCCCGCCAATGACGAAATTATTTCAGCAGTTATGCGTTAGGGCTCAAAGCCATATCCTCAAAGCAAAGTGGCAGCAAAAACGTTACGCCGATGCTCACCGCCGCGATGTCCAATACAATCCAGGATATCAGATTTGGATCAGCAGCCGCCATCTTCCAGGCCTCAACCAATGCCCCAAGCTTGAGCCCCGGTTCCGTGGACCCTTCACAATACTAGAACGCATTGGACAGGTAGCTTACCGCATCGCGCTCCCTTCTACTTATTCATGTCATAATCTCTTTCATGTGTCTCAGCTCGTTCCTGACCGCCCCCGCGAACCGCAGATGCAGTCCAAGGAAGCCGCCGTTGGATGGCTCCCAATAACGGGCCCGGATGGCACTCCTACTGACACCTATGAAGTGGAGTACATTCTCAACCAACGCGGCTCGGGACAAGATATCCAGTACCTCGTTAAGTGGCGCGGCGCTACCGAGGACCGCGCAACCTGGGAGCCGGCTGCCAATCTCACCAACTGTCCCACCATTCTTCGGGCGTGGCGCCGTTATTTCAAGCGTGCGAGGGACAACCAGCGAAGACCCCAGGATGTCGCATCGAGCTCTGCGCACACTACTGTAGCAGGGCCCTCTTCGCAGCCGCTTTTCTCGCGAGGGGGGGAAGGAGTGGCGCGGCGCCCTCCTGCAGCCTCACCACTCAGGGCACAAGACAGCACAAAGGAGCCGGAGAGAAATATATCGTCGGGAAGTACTGTAGACTCGCAGGCGGGTCCCGAAAGGTGTACCAGTTGAGAATTAGAAGAAGAAGTCGTGATACTGGGAGGTAAAGGAAGCAAGCGGAGAAGGGAATTGTAACATGAGTTAGCGCATAGTTAGCTCAGGAGCCTATCGACGGCTTTGGCATGCTGCGCGTAAGCGCC